GGACAGATCTTTTTTTTTTTAAAAAAAAGACTAGGAATTGGTCTCTATTCGGAATTTGGTCTATTAACCAGTGACCACGACCCAGTGAAAGCTGTAAACCCTATCTGAGAGCAAACACCCTCAATATAAGTCACAGCTTTCCTTTGCTAACACTTTACCTTGATGGCTCCAGCAACGCTGATGCAAATTCTCAGTGAAGCCCAGGTCCAGAAGTCTCTCTGGAAAAGGCCATTACTAGGCCATCGTTATGCTTTGCTATATGTCAGGTGGTTCTGAAGGGGGGTTGCAAAGAGGATGGAGCTGGACTGTTCTCAGTGGGGGCAGATGACAGGACAAAGAGCAATGGGCTCCAGCTGAAGCAAGGGAAGTTGAAGTTGGATATTAGGAAAATCTCTCTCACCAGGATGGAGTAAAACACTGGAATGGGCTAACAAGAGAAGCAGTGGACTCTCCGTCCTCGGAAGTTTTGAAAACCCACGTAAACAAAGCCTTGGCTGGGATGATGTAGTTGGGGCTGGTCCTGCTTGGAGCAGGGGGTTGGACTAGATGTGACCTCCTGGGGCCCCTTCAACCCTCATTTTCTATAATTCTATGAATCAACTGTTGCTTTTCTCTAAAACAACGGGCCATTCATTTTTGCCTGCTTCAGATTACAACCTTTGCTCAAAACAGATTCATGGAAGGGAGAGCTACCACAGTAAACGCTTTTCAAAAGCACAAATCCAAATGCTTTTCACCACCCAAAGAAAGAGGGCTGCTTCAAGACATTTTCCTTTCGGACAGTGGGATGTTCCTTTTACTCCCCAGCAGTGTAATTAAGTCTCCTGTGTTTTGCCCTGCATTCCTGCCAGCTCCCTTGCACTCTTTTTGCACTGCACTGGATTTAAGATGCTTACTTTAGGAAAAGGAGGGAAAATTACTTGCCACCCACATAGAAAACAGGTATCATTTGATTCGTGCTGTTTACACCAAAAATCACAGCCAGGCACATTCCTGCTGACGTAGTACATTTCTCCTTGGCTTTGGAAAGCAGACCCATGTGCAACAGCATGCATCAGGATTTCAAGTCCTTTTTAATTAGATGAGGCATTACAATGCTATGGTTCATGAGATTCTAAAACAATAAGGGGCAGCCTTAATCATCTATATCACTCCTGCACCTTTTTCAGCTCTACTGCACTGTCAAGTGCCTAGAACCACCAAGGAATGAACACAGAAACAGCTTGCATTCCCATCCCCATTCCCATTCTTGCATCAGGCCTTTGTTAGCAGATCAAACAGTGATTCTTCCCCTTTATTTGGCACTGGTGAGGCCACATCTGGAGTCCTGTATCCAGTTTTGGGCTCTGCACTACAAAAAGGATATGGACAAGTTGGAGAGAGTCCAGTGAAGGGCACTGAAAATGGTTTCATAGATTTCATAGACATTTGGGCTGGAAGGGACCCCGGAGGATCATAGAGTCCAGCCCCCTGCCCCAGGGGCAGGACGTCAGCAGGGATCATAGGATCCCAGCAAGATAAGCATCCAAATGTGTTTTGAAGGCGTTCAAAGTGGGCGCTTGAACCGCCTCAGGTGGCGGTCTGTTCCAGACCTTGGGGGCTCGGACAGTGAAGAAGTTTTTCTTATGTCCAGCCAGAACCGGTCACAGTGGAGTTTGTGACCGTTTGATTTTGTCATCCCTTGGGGGGCTCTGGTGAACAGTCGTTCCCCCAGATCCTGATGAGCACCCCAATAAGCTTATAGGTGGCCACCAGATCACCCCTGAGCCTGCGGTTTTCCAGGCTAAAGAGCCCCATTGCTCTCAGCCTCTCATCATATGATCTGTTTTCCTGACCTCTGATCATGCGTGTGGCTCTGCTCTGCACCCTCTCAAGCTTCTCCACATCCTTTTTGAACTGCAGAGCCCAAAACTGGACGCAGTACTCCAGCTGCAGCCTCACCAAGGCCGAGTGCAGGGGGAGAATGACATCCTGGGATTTGCTTGAGAAGCATCTACGGATGCAAGCCAGCGTTTTGCTCGCTTTCCTAGCCACGGCATTGCATTGAAGGCTCATGTTCATCTTGTGGTCAATCATGACATCCAAGTCTCTTTCGTCTGTAGAGTTAACCAGCGTAGCACTACTGAGCCTGTAAGGATGCAGCAGGTTTTTCCTCCCAAGGTGGAGAACCTTGCATTTTTCGGTGTTGAACACCATCAGGTTCTCGTCCGCCCATTTACTAAGCCTGTCCAGATCTGCCTGGATCACCCTCCTGTCTTCAGGTGTGGATGCTTTACCCCAGAGTTTGATGTCATCGGCAAACTTGGCCAGTCCGCTTCTGACACCAATGTCCACATCATTAATGAAGATGTTAAATAGCGTAGGCCCAAGGACAGAGCCCTGAGGGACCCCATTGGTTACAGCGCACCATGATGATTGGCTCCCGTCAACTACCACCCTCTTGGTCAGACCACGGAGCCAATTCCCCAGCCAGCAGATTGTGGTGCAGCCGAGGCCGCAGTTAGCCAGTTTTGCTAAGTGATCATGGGATACCAGACCAAAGGGTTTTTCTGAAGTCAAGATATATGACATCAATCTCTTCTCCCTTGTCCAGGTGATAGGTCACCTGGTCGTAAAAGGAAATGAGATTGGTCAAGCAAGACCTACCCGCAACAAACTCGTGCTGGCTATCCCTCAGAATGTTGCCATTGGCCAGTCTGTTAAGAATAGTCTCTTTGATAATCTTTTCTAAGACCTTCCCCAGGATAGAGGTTAGGCTGATGGGCCTGTAGTTTGCCGGATCCACTTTCCTCCCTTTCTTGAAGATAGGCACCACATTGGACTTCTTCCAATCTTCGAGAACTCCTGGTGCTCTGGTGAAGTGCTCGAAGATCAGTGCCAGAGGCTGAGGGATGATGCTTGATAGCTCCTTGAGTACCCTGGGGTGCAAGGTGTCAGGGCTGGTTGACTTGAAGGTATCTAGGTTTTCAAGACCTGGTTAGACAAAGCCCTGGCTGTGATGATGTAGTTGGGGCTGGTCCTGCTTTGAGCAGGCCGTGGAACCAGATGACCTCTGAGGTCCCTTCACACCCTTACTTTCTATGACATTTAACACAAAATGGGCGCATCGCATCTACATGTGTGCTTTAATGAGCAACAGCCTATTTTACCGCACATTAAAGTGTCACATAAAAAACCACGCAATTACACTGATGCATAGTAAGATAGGCTACTGAGCTTTAAGCATCACTTAAACGCGTGATTTCAGTACTGCGCATTAGGGCAGCTTAATGTGCATTTATTTAGTGTCTCACACTGGAGGTATTACAAACAATCTGGCAAAAAGTTAGCCGATGACACCAAACTATGTGTGGGGGGGGGGCGGTGTGGTCATGCTCGAAGACAGGCTGGCAATACAGGCTGACCTGGACAGACTTGTGAAGTGGGCAGACCTCAACCTGATGTTATTTAATACCCAGAAATGTAAAGTGCTCCATCTGGGGAGAAATAACCCACAGCACACTTACAGGCTCTGCTTGCCAGCATCACAACTGAACGAGACCTAGGTGCCTGACTTGACAACAAAATGAACATGAGCCACCAATGCAATGCTGTAGCTGGCAGAGCTAATCAAACACTGGCATGCATCCCCCAAGGCATCTCGAGCAAAGCTAAGGATGTCATCCTCTGGCTTTACTCGGCTTTGGTAAGACTGCAGCTGCTCGTATAGAAGGTATTTTCCACACTCTTAAAACAGTTTATCATAGCATATGACACACCTTCACCTTACCATCCTGCTGTACAGGTAATATATGTAGGAACTAAGAAATCTCTCACTTAAAATGCTTATGAAAGCAAGATACCCATAAAAAACAAAACAGTACAACATATCAATATTTCACAATCAGTATCCCATATTGGCTGTGACTGGCTGCCTGTATTTATAGCTAAACCCCAGGAAAAGAGACTATATTGTGTTTGTATGCTCTACAACAACAGATAGCAAAGAGTTACCTGGCCTGAGTCTGTCCAACCATAAGCATGCAATGGGCCCACCTCTCATCAGGGCTGAATTTGGTTCACCCACCGATACAGTTATCACACTGCATCTCCAAATACCCGTGGTTACGCTTGAGCTCAGGTCTTTGTTCTATGTTGGCTTCCATTGTTCCACCCACCACAGAAACCAGTTTTGATTAATTTCCAAGATATTAAAACAACTGTTAATTAATAATGAGGTAAATGTGCACACTATTTTATAGAGAAAGGTCATTCACTTGCAGATTATAGAATCCATCCCAAAGAGGCATGCTGTCTAAAGGCACGGAGGAAGCCTGAACGAGCACAGAAAAGAGCACAACCCTGGGACCTGGAATACTTTGAGGCCTGTCATTTCTTGGATACTGAGACAGAAGAGCCTGCTCCATGTAACTGGGAAGGCTCCTACAAGCTTATGGGATGAAATGGAAGAAGGCAGAGAAGGTACAGTGAAAAGAGAAAGGGAGGTGGTATAGAAAGAGGTGTGCATGAATGAAAGCACAGATTTCAGTAAAACAGAGAGCTCTGACAGTCAGAAGAAATGCCCATAATTTAAGGCCAGTGATAAAGCATTAGCAGGGTAAAAGCAAAGGAAAGGGTGATTATTTCTCTCCAGCTGGGGTCAGAATTGAGGGAGAAGGGGAGTAAAACTAGGAACACCAAAAACAAAACTCATGGGGATAGGTCTTTTGTCCATCCTCTGTTGGAACAAAAGAGGGGGGGAAATTGAAGACAGTAGTGGTTCAGGATGAGGTTGTACTGGGTGCAAGGGAATACAGACTATTTTGTGTTTTTAAACGAGATGTGATTAACCACAATCTGCCCTGGACCTTCATGCAGCTGGTCAGTTTTCTTCCTTACAAGCCAAGGACACATCACTGCTTCCCACTAGAGAGGAGAATCAAACAGTCCAAAGTGACAGAAAGTAGCAGAGAATGACATCAACATGCCCAGGTGCTCACACCAAGGGGTTATGCACTCACCGGAAGAGATTCTCTGCCCCAGCTCTCATCCTCATCTCCTTGTTGATCTGCTGGTTGATCCGTGCGCGGCGGTGCTGCAGCTTGCTGCGCTGGGTCTGTGCAAAAGGGTCACAGCCCTGCTAAGAGAAAGGTGATCAGAATACATCCCGTGATAGCACAGCACCTTTGCTGAAGCCCGCCCTCCTTTCTATCCAAGCTTTGCCAGCTCCTTATTCAGATCTGCTCTGGAGACTCACTGCAGCGCTATCTGTAGGTTGGCTGTTTGCAAGCAGTGGAACACAAAACGGTTTCTTTGTCCCCTGGGCAAGATCACCTTCCCTTTGGTACAGCCTGAGACGCAAAGACAATACTCAAAAAACACAGGTGAAGTGCCTCTTTAGTTTGTAATACGACTCAAGCAGAGCTGCTGTCTCCTACTGCAGCATATTCTCAGGGCCCTCTTCTCTGTGCTGGGCCTATAAGTCATGTCTGCTTCAGCTGTCCAGGTTATGCCAAACTATGGCTCCATTACAAAGGCTTGCCCTGCCTTTGGCACTCTCCTCCACGATGCTGAAATGGAGTTTAACGATGGTGTTATGCCACACTGACTTTTATAACTACTTCCTTTATAGATGATTCAGGGTTTTACAAATGACACAAGAAGAGCTCCTTCCTTTCCAAGGCTTTAGGGGATGGACAGAAAATGACAGATTTAGGATACCGGGAGTCTTAAATCATAGGAACATGCACGACTACAGCCTGGACGCTAAAGACGTCGCTTCCCATAGGTGATGAACACTTGCGGCGCCTGCTGACATCGGTGTGATTGGAGCTTGCTCAACAGCTCTGGAAGTCAGGGCATAGGTAAATGAGTTGTATTTAAAGAGCGCTTTTATTCTACCCTCCCAGACTTTGGTGGGTCAGAGCGTTCCCAGGCAGGGAATGAGTTAGGTGGTTAACCTTTGCGCTGGGAAATAACAGATGCTCGTCTCTTCGGCCTTACAAGGGGGAAGCAAAGAAATGTTATAGGGGCTCCCAATGGAGGCACCGTCAAGAGGAGGTTCTCAGATTCCTCCATGGCACAAAAGCTTAACCCAGGCGAGAGGGATTTCTATTGTACAGGGAACAATTCAAAGAAGCAGTGAAATGCATTCCCGAGGAGCCCCACAGCCCTACAGAAAGGGCCTTTTTGGGGGTGGAATGCAGGGTGTGAGGCAGGGCAGCTGTTTTCATAGGGAGACCTCCGCCTTCGCTTTTCTTACCTTTGGGCAAGCAGTTGGCATCTGACCATAGCGACACCTCCCACCCCAGCCAGCTGAATGCTAATGTAAATGCAGGGTGAATGTCACCCTGCTGCAAGGCTCAAGCTTCGGGTCATCAGAAAGCATCTCTTGGGAAGCAGCACAACACCTTCCTACCCATCATCTGGAGGCTTTAGAAAAAGCAAAACTCACTCCTCCCTCTCCTCTTCTCAGATGCTCTCAAGACCCCATTGTCTTTCTACCTAGGTCAAAAGTATTACTCAGAACCACTTTTTGGAAGGACAGCTATTATAACCAGCTTACACAAGCTGACTGTGCAGCACCATCAACTGAATGCCCTTGTCTTTGCCCTCTATGTCTCCATGCTGTGTGTTCACCCTCGCTTTCTCTTTGCCACCACCAAGTTTTAATAGGTGGGAAACCAGGTTAGATACATGCATCTCGATGATGATGCACCCTGATCCCAGGTCTGTTAAACTCGAATGGAGAAGTCCTTAAGGGACTTCTTTTTCTCCTGGTCAAGGGAACTGCTGCTTGGAGAAGATATCACCTATGAAATGTGATCTTACCACTGCTGACACCTGCAAGCACTGCCTCTGCAAACTAAGGAGAGCTAGGATGTTATCTTAGTTGCAAAAGGAGAAGATACAGGTCTTGGCTCTTGTTTTGGACCTTACGATGCCAGGACTGATAAAACCCAACTCATGATTGCACTCAAAAAGTTCTCTGGAATTGAAACATTGCTTTCCATGTTTGCACACAGAGTGACAAGAAATAGGACTTATTTTTTCTTTTAGGAGTGGGAAAATATTTGAGATGTTATTAGTCCAGACTAATAACTGGGATGAGAGTGAAAAACACTGCATTTTAAACAACTGCAGATGAAACATCTTTCTGTACATAAAATTGCTCTGGATATTTCTAAATCATACAAAACAAGCTGTCCAATCTGAAGAAGTAAGTTACAGGGATAAGCACAGACATTTGTGATTACTTTACGTACTAAATTGGAGTGCACACTCAGAGTATTGGAGGCTGAGGAACAGAGGTTGCTATACCTGGCAGGAAAAACGTGAAGCTTTTCTGTTTTACAGTAATCTGTGTATTCATGACAAATATCAGAGGAAGAGGAAAGGTGGGGGGAGGGGAGAAAACCAGATCCTTCTGTAAGAGTTTATTAAATACGACACAAAAGCTAAAGAACCGCCTAGCTGACCTATAAATCTCAGTTCCAAGGGCTGAAAGGAAATTAATAACCCAAAGACAGATCGTTGCTTTGAAGAGCAAGTGCAAAACCACAAAATGGGTAGGGGTCTTTGAGTGACACCGCTTCCTCAAAGGTGAATTTAAGCAAAGGCCTGAATCTTGCTGTTAAGAACAAGGAATCCAGAGGTCATGGTGACTAATTCAGTGATGAAGTTAGATATCCAAGAGCAGTGGCTTTCAACCTGTGGTACGTTTAAGGGGTCCACAAAAGGATGATGATCAATTAAAAATATGTGAATACTCGCACTTCCAATTCAAAGGGGTCTGCCGCTCCATTCAAAATTTCTGAAGGGGTCCACTCCTCCATTCAAAAGTTTTTATGAGTCCACAAATGAAAAAAGGTTGAAAACCACTATCCTAGAGCAACGTTGGATGAGGTCCAGTTGGTGGCTGAATTGGGAGAAGGGAAGAGGGGAGGGACAGCAGGACTAGTGCTAGTCCTAGAGGAGGTAAACCATGTGTCACAAGACTAACAAGTGACACGCTCCCCAAAGGATCTGTTAAGGGTCAATACAAAATATCCCAAGAGACCAGGAAGTCTAAGGAGTCCTCTCTGAAGGAGCAAAGAGCTCTTTTGCAGTGGATCTTCAACTTATCACGTGGGACTCTTCATGACAAATGTTAAAAAACAAACCAAACTTTCTTCTTTTTCTTTCCTTTTCTGTAGGACATGCAACCAACAGTGCAATAAGCCTGCTATTAAATTTTATGAGCACTTCCACTGGAGTAGAGCTGGAGGGAGCTTGCCACCAGACATTTATAGGTGCCTATGTTGTTGTGACTTTAAAAGTGACTGGTGATTTGGGTCCTTCAGTGCCTAGCCAGAGCTGCCGTCACAGGACTGGATTCCTAAATAGCACCATACATCAACCTTCTCATAACCCAAGTCCCTTAAGGTACCTGCAGATCACTAATTGCTTTGGCGTTTGGGCATGGAGAAGGTGCCTTCTTCCAGGAATTTCCTTGTAAGTTTAGACATTTCCTTCTATTTTCCTTCACAACATCCTCTGGAAGTTGTTGCTGTTTGGATTTGTCTGAACTGTTATCTACCTACTGATAAGGAAGCTGTGCTCTGCTGTTTGCAAAGCCCTGAGTTCACATTGCAGCAGCCAAATAAGCTCTGCTGTTTGCTGCCTGTTTTAGCTGAACACTGCATCTAGCTCTTTAAACAATCACATTTAATGAGGTTGTTATCAATTCGCACCCGGCCAAAAAAACACAGTAAAACCAAGCTTGCAAGTCAAGTGCTGCTGGACTGGATCATGTTATGAGAAGCGCGGCTTCAAATTGTGAGACTAACTGCCCATAGGGAATTCATTTGATCTCTCTGCACTTTGGCTTCCTTCACCCATTGTAAAATTGGGTAACCCTCCACAGCTCCCCATGAGACCGTGAGAAAAAGCCTTGTGAAGAGCAAAAGAGCTCTCACAAAGCACCACTACTGCATGGTTTGTGCTAGGGCAAGCAGTCCATTGCCACCCACTAGAGTTGTTGTAAAGTCCTCCTCCCCTGCTGTTTTTGACATTTAGGAGAAAAAAAATATATAAAGAAAAATAATCCAGGAAATTTGGCCCTGGAGTAAGAATTTCATCCTGAGAAAAAGAATCATTGATTGGGGGGGGGATAAAATTGGGTGCTTTCAATACCAGTGTGATCCCTTGTTTCACCTGTGGCAAGTAGAGTGCTCTTGGTGTTTTGGGACAACACGACTGATAGCTACAGGAGAGGATCGGTTCATGCATTTAATAATTAGATCAAATTTATTCAGGGGGCCCCTCACAGATGTTACACTTCAGACTGATTAACTGATTAATCATATCTTAAGTAGCGACCTGACCACACATTCTGTCAATTAATGGAGTGATAAAACGAGGGCTCAGCCACAGAGTTATTATATGTAATGTGTCATTACTTTGTGGCTGGTTTTCATTATGCCCTTAATTGAAGGTGTGGCCAGTACCGGGCTTGGAGCACACAAGAGTCTTTCCAGATCACCACATGCACTGGGGTGGAGACTCCTGGCCAGCTGATGGGGTTTCCAGCCAGGAGAGGGCATGCAGGGGGAGCCTGGGATAAGGTCCCCTTCATGAGCAACATGGGGCAGTGGGATGTGATGCAGGATCCCACAATTGCACCTCCTGCCACATACATTTGGGATCCCATAGCAGATCCTGTCATGCTTTTACTTTAACATCTGTCAGTGGCCTAAAATGGTTTGGATGGGGATGATCCTGCCTGGAGCAAGGGCCTGAACTAAATGACTTCTTGAGGTCCGTCCAAGCCTTGATTTCTATGTTTCTAGAACACGAAGGACCTTTGAGCAATGAGAGGTTTAATTAGTCCTTTCTCCATTTTCTGAGAGGATATATGGCAGACTGGCTTTGCTGAAAAACTTACAAAATGCTCCCTCAAAAATGCAGCTTGGTGTCCATCTCCTCCAACATTCAGTACTCCAGCAAATCCAAAAGAAGTCACTTGGTTTGGCTGAAAATCATCCTTTAAGTGTTAGCAGAATGATTTAAGACTCATTTCTACCACAGTCTATCCTGTTACTGGGGTAAGGAGTTACGGGCACCTGCTAAGTCTTTCAAGCTGATATTTCCCCGGCTTTATTCTTTCCTGTACAACCTCGAGGGTTGATCCTGAGAGGTAGTAAGCACCTAACCTTCCCAATGTGTTTAGTTTATCTCTCGGGCCTTCAGCAGGTCTTCAAGCATTTTGCTGTTCGACTGCAGCACAGGACTTTTGTGTAAGGGCTGAACAAAATCAGGGGTACAACACAGGAACTCACTCCCCCCTTTGTAGAAGGTTTTAAACCAAGTAGAAAAAAAAGTGCACAGCAGGTGGTCATAAATTTTGTTGCACTCATAAACCCACCAGAAATTGGCATGGTTTGTATGCACACGGAGTGCAGCATATGTTAAGAAAGCCATGAAAAATGAATGAGGTATGGGTCATTAAGTTACATGAGTTGTGTCCAGCACTGAAGTTTATTGCCTCTGACAAGGCAGGATTAGAGCCAGTATTATTGTAACAAGGCTGTTCTATGAGCAAAAGAAACCTGCCAAGCAATATTACATTCAGTCTCGACATGCAAGGGCAACAAGCGTGATATGGAGATGTGCTAGAGCTTCATTTCAGAGGCGGGGAGAGGAACAAGAGGCTGGCTGCTTTACAAACAGGGAGCAGAGGGAGATGAGGCTGCTTGCATGTGGTGGGGACAGCTGACAATTTAGGGTCTGGGAAGAAAACGGTGCAACTAACACTGGTTTATACTGATATGTTACACCTTGGTCTGGAGGGCACAGCTGGACAGCTATTCTGCGGTAGCTGCAAGTAAAAGGCACTATTAAACTGCCTCATGGCTAACTGGCAGTCCTGTTTGCCTTGAAGATAACTGCAGACAGGCAACAGCTATATCACATTGGGTGAAATGACTTCAGAGAAGGGGGCTCTCACCTGTCCACTCTGACCTTTACACATGGAAGATGACTACATTAATTCTCTCCCCCACGGCCTTAGACCTTGTCTAGATGAGGAAATTTAAATAGCAGAATTATAATTATAATAATAAGCTGGATATGAGCCAGCAGTGTGCCCTTGGTGCCAAGAAGGCTAACAGCATCCTGGGCTGCATTGGCAGGAGCATTGCCAGCAGATTGAAGGCAGTGATTCTTCCCCCCTATTCAGCACTGGGGAGGCCACATCTGGAGTCCTGTGTCCAGCTGTGCCCCCCCCCCCCCAACTACAGAAAGGATGTGGACAAGTTGGAGAGAGCCCAGCAACAAAATAGTTCAGGGGCTGGGGGACATGACTTGCAAGGAGAGGCTGAGGGAATCGGGCTTATTTAGATATTAGGAAAAACTCTCACAAGGAGGTTAGTAAAGCTCTGGAACTGGTTACCCAGAGAGGTGTTGGGATCTTCATTCTGAGAGGTTTTGAAGACAGCTCAACAAATCCCTGGATGGGATGATGTAGTTGGGGCTGGTCCTGCTTTGAGTAGCAGGTTGGACTAGATCGGGGCGGGCAATTATTTTGTGCAGAGGGCCGCTTACTGGGTTTTGGCAAGCCATCGAGGGCCGCATGACAGGCAGCCCAGGGCAGATTAATATTAACTTCTCTAAATTTTTTAGGGGCCCCGCACGCCAGATAGAATAGCTTGGCAGGCTACATCCGGCCCGCAGGCCGTATTTTGCCCACCCCTAGACTCGATGCATCTCCTAAGGTCCCTTCCCACCCCCATTTTCTATGATTGTATGAATTCTCAGGGCTTAAGTCTCCTTGTGTAACCAAGTCCTTGCTGCATACTCTACATGCAGCATAGACAACATTCATCACACACTGCACTTTGTACCCTTAGGCTCAGATGCCCCTGTAAACATTAGAGACCTGGAAAAGCAACATGTGCGGTACCAGAAAATGTCTAGGTGATTGCCCGAGTAATTTTATTTTCAAGCCCTCGGCACAAAAGGAGGCCAGTGCTAATATCTGCAGCTGACAAAGTTAGGAAGTACTGTTGATACAAAGAAGGGCTGGGATATCAGCAGGGATCCTGTTTTTTTCCCCCTGATAAAAAAAAAAACAAATAATCTCAAATTCTCTGATAAAACCCCAAAATCCATTATTAAAATGAAAAGCCCCTCACAGTCCCCCCTAGCCCTGCTGGTGCCCTTCACTCCCCACCCCTGCCCCCCGACAATTCCCCCAGCACTGCTGGTGCTCCTCACCCACCCACCCATAGATCTTGCTTCCCCAGCCCTGCTGGAGGGCCCCCCACAGCTGCCAGGGCTATGGGGCCAGGGACCCGAGTCCGCAGCCCCCTGCCCCTGGCAGAAGGCGGTGGCTGCAGTAGTGAAGCGGAGCCCAGCTCCCCACCTGCTACTTGCCTGCTCTGGGTTTAGGGATGGCTCCCCACTGTGGCACACACTCCTAGGGGTGCAGCTGGGACCATAACCCCCTGATCTGTGTGCAGAGCAGGGGCTGCATACTGCAGGCTGCTGACCTCCCCCAGAGCCTCTGCAGCAGAGGCCCTAGGGGAGGGCAGCAGGGTGGGAGTCCGTGCCCAGATCTGGGGGGTATGGGTCCCCCCTGACCCCCAAGAGTGCATGCAGCAGCAGGGATCCAGCCCCAGCCCCCCAGATGAGCTGCCCACAGTCCTGTCCCACTCCCTGCCAGGGCTGTGCAGCTGCGCGTTACGGCCCCAGGCCCCAAGAACTTCCTAGCTGGGTAGCAACCCCAGCCCAACTCCCTCCCTCCCTCTGGGGGCCTCAACACCACCCCCCCCACCTTCCACTTACCTGTGGGAGCTGCTCTTTAGGCTGCCTGGCAGACCACCCTCCTCCTGCTCCCGCCCAGCCCCCTGCAGAGGGCTTGTTGCAAAACTGCAAAATCCACAGGTTTCTCCAGTAAAATGAGAAATACGCATTTGCCTCTGGTAAGAGATAAAATCTTGCGGTTTTCACCGTTTTCCCATGGGAAACAGAAAACCCGGATCCCTGGTTCGCAGACAGGAAGAACTGAATGATCCTGAGGTCTGGTGCAACCTAACAGGATGAAATGCAAAATTATAAAGAGCAAAGCTGGGCAGCAACCGGCTAAGAACTTCTGCCAGAAGCCAGTGGCTCACCAGATGGAAAGAGCTGAGGAAGAAGCATCCTGCATTTGTTTACTATGGGATGACTATAAACTGCAACTGCCCAAAGGCAAATGCAGTCCCGGACTGCATCAGGAAAGGCATTCCCAGGACAAGGAGGATGTATAGTACTAAGTCTCATCTGGAGTACCATGGAAAAACTGGTCACCCTTACCCAAGCTGAAACAGGTGCAGGGGGAGGGGTTGGGGCTAAAAAACCTCCTCTTTTCAGAGAAAATGAAAAGAGCACAGATTGTTTCAATGAGCCAGCTTAGGAGAGAAAGAGGCTGTTTAAATTTATCCAAGGTAAAAACCAGACAGGGAGAACTATTGAAGTTAAAGTATAACTACAATTCTTCATAGTGTACTTATAGACCAATCTTCTATGTCGTAGATGATGTTCTTGTAGCAATCCTGTTGTGGGAGTGAAGAGGAAGTTGAAATGTATTCAACATAGTGGCTTACCATGATGTAAAAAAGATTCAGTGCTGTTGGCC